ACACCTCTCCCTGGATGTAGCATGTACGTTAGGGGAAAAGACTGTGATTGCCTGCCTCCTTCCTTCCACATCCAGCATGGGATTACAAAAGAAAAGATAGAAGCATTTGCAAATATTTTCTGCAAAGGGCTGAGTGAATGATCCACCCACCTCCTAAGATGCCATTTCAGTTTGCGGCCAATTCCATGTTAAAAATAGTTGAGCACATTATCATCCCTTGATATTCCATACATGTTGTCACTGCACCATCATCAATGTACTGGGATCCGCCATAACTGGACCAAACACATTTAATACTATTTCCAGCGTTTGCTGTTTATTTTACATTAAATAAAATGCCTGTAAGAACAGGCCAGTGATTAGATATTTTGTGGTGAGTGGTGCACTTAGCTCCCCAAAATGTTTCCAACATCGACAAAGCACCAGTCAGGAATGTGATAGAATACTTTCCACTTGCCTAGATAATTGCGGCTCCGCTACTCAAACATCTCTACATCGTTCGTGACCGAGCAGATCACTTGATCAGAACCCCATGCATCACTATAAAACATCAACTGTGTGCTGCTAGTGTATTACTGCTGCAGTGTGCCATCTACAAGATTTCTGAAACAACCCACAAAGATTTTTGTTGACAGCACTTCTCAAACCCTTGAGCTCTTACCTAAATGAACAAGGCAGAAGTAGCATGGGAACACTGGCACTTGCATGTTCCCTTAAGCTTCTCACTATCTAAGTTTGAAATCTATCTCTGTTCCTTCTGTATCACAAGTTCAAATCCTGAAAATTCCTAACAGCACTGTGGGTATATCTATACTACATGGACCAGGCAGAAGCTCAAGGAGGCATCTTGCTACCACCTTACCCAGTGCAATTAGGGTTGGATAATAATTCTGCACTGTCAATTTTTTGCACACATCATGAATTAATAAAACAAATTACCCCTCCTTGCACAACTCAGAAAATCTCTCCCTCAATGAGGCCCCTCTCTAACCTAGGAACTGGCAGCCCATGCATACCTTCAAGTGTCAGGCTTCTCAAAAACACGCTTGCCATCCAGCTGGAGGCTGTCTATTTGCTGCACCTACCAAATATGCAGGGATTTGCCTTCCAGGTTCCCAAGCCTGCTTAAAGCTGTGCAAATGTTTGAAATGAGTATCCATAAGAAATTACCAGGGAGATCTGTAACCAGATCTTTCCCGTCTTCTCCCACAATGACAAATGACAAGAATGCTTTATCCAGGACATTGTGTATGCCATCACATTGGTACGTGACTATACCTTGAACTGAAAAAATCCAAATCATGATTATTATCTTTCTCATTTTAAAAGTTTTCATTGCTGTATTTAAATGACATCTTAATTTTAAAAATTATATTTTTAAACAGTTTTAATAGGTCCTTGCTGTCTTAGTGGGTAAATACACCATGCAGCATCAAGATGAATTACAGCCTAGGAATATTTTTGGTTAGTCCTCACCAAGACTGATTTACGTGAGTTCATATATTGCTGCAGCAGAGCAATTAAATGTGTCAGCCCTGTTTGGATTCCACTTTTCAGTTCAAAAAAGATATTATCATCATCCAGTACTGTTTCCAGGAGACTTGTGTATAATTATTAAGGATCAGTCTTGGACATTATGTCCAGTAAATATTTGGCAATGTTCATTGTGGGAGAATTTTTACACAGCTCTCCAATTTTTTTTGTGGAAGATCAGCAACAACCCTGGTAAAATCTTTACTGAAACAATAGGTGAATTGCTCATCTCGGAAGGTAGCAAAGGGCTGTGAGTACCAATGGAATGTACTTCAAGACGTTGCATTCAGTTAAGGAACAAAGAGAAAGGGAAAATAAAGTTTGATGGAAAGACATATTAATGCAGGGAAATAATAATTTATCTATGCAACATGTACTGTTGTAATGTTACTCTTTTGCCCTAAATTTCTTGGTCATAGCTTGCTTTCCCTATGTTTATTCAAATGCACCTTTTTTAAGTGATAGAGAATATGCATGATACAGTAGTTTACTGAATTGACCTTTTTTGCCAAAACGGAAGATTCTGAATCAAACAGATGTTGGAAAAGCTCAGCAAGTCTGATGGCATTTCTGAAGAGAAATCAGAATTAACATTTGGGATCCAGTGACCCTTTCTTGGAACTGCTTTTTTTTTTTCTTTTTGTTTGTTGTTGTGTTCCTGCCAGTGGAGTCTGTCTTGAAATGTTAACAGACAGAATGTATTCCTTCAAAGAGAAGACTGCGTTTACTTAGATTTTGAACATTAGAACAAAATACAGGTATAATTTGTCTTAAGGTCTCGAGTGCTTTACCATACAGGCGCTTTTTGGGTGTGGTGAAACTAGTTAGAGTTGATAGGTGCTTTTCTAACATCTCTTCCATCTGCAGGGAAAAGATATGTGGTAAAGGAGAGACATATAGATGTGTATGTGGAGAAAGAACATGCAAAGTATACTTAGTTTTTAGCAAACTATATTGGATTCAAGTTAAACACAAAGAGACTAATCTGGGGCATTGAGTATGTAAATGAACTACTCTTTACCAAAATGACCTAGAATTATACAATAGAGTCAGAGTATGGAAACAGATTTTTGGTCCAACTCATCTGCATCAATGAGACATCCCAATCTGACCTAATTCCATTTGCCAGCATTTGGCCCATATCCGTCTCAACCCTTGTTCATTTTACCCATCCAGACGTCTTAAATGTTATTTTACCTACTTCTATCACTTCCTCTGGCAACTTGTTCCCTACGTGCATCATCCTCTGCTGGGGAAAAGCTGGGGAAAAAGTTACTGCTTAGTCCTTTTTTTTTTTTTCCTCTTTTTCTCTCCCACCTTAAATCTATGCTGTCTAGTTTTGGACTCCTCCGCCCTAGGAGAAAGACCTTGGCTATTCAGCCTATCCATGCCCTGTATGACCTTGATAAACCTCTAAGGTCACCCCCCAGTCTCTGACGCTCCAGCGGAAGAACTCTTTTTTTTTTTATCGTTCTTTAAAAACATTTTTTCGAGATAGTTTTGAAGTGTTCTTATTGTCTCTGCCTCCATGATAAAGAATTACAATTTCCAATTGCTTGTTTTGTTTTTAAGACTTTCTCCTCTCTCTTCTGTTTGGTAATCATCAGTCTCTATCCATTTACCTTTATCTTCGCATCCAGTTGAAACAGTATTTAACTATTAACGCTCCAACCTGTTATCATTTTGACAAACTCTTACTTTGTCTGCATACCACTTAAAAATCACTTCACTGTTGTGAACCTCATTAGGACTAATTGAAGATGTGCTAAAGTAGTATGCAGATTCAAGTTGTTTTTGTTCTTTCTTAGATTTTTCCAGCTTTGTTTGTTTTTCTTAAGTGTTATGGAAATTGAGCTTTTTAGCTTTATCAGAAAAAATGAAATTTCAACTATAATCTTTCCATGGCATTAGCCCATCTGTATTTTTATACAAATGCCCAAAATGACGTGCAGTGCACTATAAGAGACAATAGGAACTGCTGATGCTGGAGTCTGAGATAACAAGGTGTGGAGCTGGAAGAACACAACAGGCCAGGCACCATCAGAGGAGGAAGAAAGCTGACGTTTCGGGTCTGGACGTTTCGGGTCTGGACTCTTCTTCAGAAATGGGGGTGGGGAAGGGGGCTCTGAAATAAATAGGGAGGGGGGAGGCGATGATAGGAGCAGATAGGTGGAGAGAAGATGGACAGGTCCAAGGAGGTGGGGATGAAAGGGCAGGTGGGCCTGGACTTGGGATGAGGTGGGGGGTGGGGAGATTTTGAAACTAGTAAAGTCCACATTGAGACCATTGGGTTGTAGGCTTCCAAGGCAGAATATGAGATGCTATTCCTCCAGTTTCTGGGTGGCATCGTTGTGACACTGGGGGAGGCCCAGGATGGACATGTCGTCCAGGGAGTGGGAGGTGTTGTCGTTTATCACGAACCGAACGTAGGTGCTGCACAAAGTGGTCCCTAAGCCTCCACTTGGTCTCCCCGATTGTAGAGGAGGCCACATCAGGAACTGCAGATATAATAGACTACATTAGCGGATGTGCAGGTGAACATCTCCTAGGGTAGTTGCATGCTCCTCTTGCAGGATGTGGGAGGTAAGGGTCACTGCTGGTGTCCCCTCTGACTTCACCTGTGAGAAGCGCACCCAACTCCAGCTCCTCAAAAAC